GGGGCGTGGTGCTGTTTGAGGTCGGGGCTGAGTACTTGCCCTTGCTAAAGCATGAAATTCAAGAGCCCCTGGAAGACTGGGAGGGGCCGGGCTTGGGGATCCTCTTCCTGGAAGATCATTAGGGAAAGCACAGGGGTCTGGAGAGAGGCAGGCCCTGCTGGATCCCTCAAAGCAGTCACCTCTGATAGCTACAAGTTCTTTTTTTGTCAGAGAAAAAGAGTGCAAGGCTTTTTATCATTCATTGCCGGGATGCTCCACAAATCATCGAGGATTTGAGAATAGCATCCAGAATGCTGAGAGAGGAGAAAGAATATGAATGTGTGTGTGCACACACGGGGTGCTCCCTCATGCTGCTGGGCGGCTGGGCACTGGCTACAAGGGTGTGCTGCTGAGGCCATTCCTGAGTTGGGCTGGTAGGGGTGCTACACAGGGAGATGTTATTTTTTTTTTTAAACTAAGAAATTACAGAGTATCTAGCACACTGTCTGGAATATACTACATGCTTAATTTAGAGGAGTGATTTTCCTAAAGATTTCAGAATGATTTGTGCTTGTTAATCACTGTGGAATCCGGAAAGAGTGCTGTTCAAAGGTGTCTGTTCCTGTGGTGCGGGTAGCATGCAGAAATAACTGAAATTAGGATTTTCCTGTTAAAGGAAAGCTCCAGCTTTTAAAGCATTCATTATTCTTTGCTTCTTTCAAAATCCCTTTTGTCCCCACTGATGGTCAGCCCTCTCCCTTTCCCTCCCCCATCCCTTGTTCCTTCATTCTCTTCCCTCTCCCTCCCAGGGCTACCTGCATCTATCTCTCTGGCCTTCAATACACCACCAAGAGGGGAGGAAGATTAACTGGGCAAAGAAAAGTTATGGATTCTGATGTCAGAGCTAGGGCTAAGTCAATAGTTTAGGCTACTTCTCAGACCTGGGACTCAACTGCTTTCAATTTCAGTTTACTTATTGCCATTTGGGAATAGCAATAAATGATCCCAACACAGGGATTCACTCCTGCGCTCATATGAGGGAGAAAGACCATTGGTACCTTGTTATTGTCATTGCCATAATGTCTGAGCACACCCTTAAGCAGCAGTGACTGCCCAATAGCGACCATTTCCAAACAGTGGAGGGCATTGGCTAGGGGGTGTCGTCAACGACTGTTTCTGCAAGCACTTGCTGAACACTTGTTCATTAGCTGGCACTGTGCCCGGGTGAGGGGCTCTGGGAAGAATTGAGACCACAAACTTTGGCCTCTATGAGGCTCTAATCTTGTCAGAGAAAGCATGGAAACAGAGACACGGAATAGAGGACAGTGATGGCTTGGATGAGATTGAGTGAAACTATCTGAAATGTGTCTTCACTGCTATTTGTTGCTATAAAATGGGGTACATCTTGCAGCTTTAACTTCTGTGTTTATGGGGAAAAAACGGAATCCCTTGGAAATACCCTTCAATCATTCAACTTTTTTTTTTTTTTTTTTTTTTTTTGGCGGAATTTCACTCTTGTTGACCAGGCTGCAGTGCAATGATGTGACCTCGGCTCACGGCAACCTCTGCTTCCCGGGTTCAAGCGATTCTCCTGCCTCAGCCTCCCAAGTAGCTGGGATTACAGGCATGCGCCACCATGCCTGGCTAATTTTTGTATTTTTAGTAGAGACAGGGTTTTTCCATGTTGGTCAGGCTGGTCTCAAACTCCCGACCTCAGGTGATCCACCTGCCTCAGCCTCCCAAAGTGCTGGAATTATAGGCGTGAGCCACCGCGCCCGGCCCAATCATTCAATTTTCATAGTGTGGACTTGAGTCAAATTATTTTTCACGGACAAAGATTTCTGAGAAGGCTGGTTAGTATACAGCTGGAGAAATAAAACAACTCAGAAACTCCACTGGCTCTTTCAAACAAATTTTACTATACTAAAATTGGAGACAAACATGTCTGCCATCTCTCACTTTGGTAGTAGGGAGTAAGGGCTGCCGTACTCAACCAGGGTTCCCAATCCACAGTCGGTGGCTCTCAAATTTTGCGCTGATGTGCCCCTAGGACACTGCAGCAAGCTCACAGGACTGCCAAAGAATATTTAAAAATGTTCAAAGTGGCGACAGTGGCATCTGTCAGATACCATGTGTTGAGTTGTTTGGACCTAACTATGTATTAACAGAACTACTAGTTATTTCTTTTAGCTTAGGGGCACTGCAAAGCATTACTGAGATCCCAGAGGCATCCTGAACTGGGAATGTTTGGCAGGCTCTCTGGGGCTCAGTGCACCATCACCATGTCCACAATTGGATGGCCATGCGGAAGCACACCTGTGCGCAGACACCTCTTCTACACATCCACACCTTGGTCTTATCATTGGCCAGCTCCTTTGGACTTGGCAGTTGCTGATTTGCTTCTTTAAAAAAGGTGTGAGTTTGTCATGAATTTGATCTTGATTCACAGTGTCCACCATTCAGCACCAGAGGCAGCCATAACTCCTGCCTTTGGGGTAGGAGAGAGGTGGTTAGCTCAAAGGCTGTGAGTTTTCAACACTGGGCAGGCCTGCGAACTGACACCCAGGCTGGCAGAATTTGCCTCTAGAGCCATTGGGTAGTGGGTGGCCTCATCTTCTCCTTCCTGATTTTGTTCCCTTCTTCCTGGAAGGCCTCCAGCCCAGATCTCTGCGTACGCTTTCCCTCCCATCAGCTTTCCCCTGCAGGCCCTCATAGGGCTGATGCCACCTCTGCACCCCTCCCAGGTCTGTGTGCTCTGCTGCATGGGGACTTTGCTGCTCCACCGTTGCTCTCAACTGCCATCGGAATTTTCTCTCCTGAAGATTCTCAGCAGTTGGTGCCTGGGTTCTGCAGCCAGGTGGACTATGAGGCTCCAAGGCTGTTGGGGTTCAGACCTTGCTATGGGGACCTGGCAGCTAGTATACCAGAAACGCACAGTGAATATGTGATGAATCAACCTAATAGCTTAATTCCCAGTGAGAGTTTCAGGACAGCAACAGCTGCGTGTGAGAGCCCCCCGTCACCGCTTCTCATTTTCCAGGGGCTGTCTCTGCCTTAACTGAAGAAAAACCTGATGGGGGAGCCCAGGCAGACCCAGCAGAGAGGCTCTGTGGCTGGGGGACTTTGGCCCTCCTGTGGCCCTTCTCTTTCCTGTTGCTCTTGCTCATTCTTTGCCGTGGCTCTCGTGTCCTTCCAGGCAGGCGGCTGAGCGCATGCAGCCTACATAGATGGGGCAGGGCTGTGTGGGGATTTAGGTGCTGGATTTAATCAATGTTTTTACCTTTGCATGGCAACAGTGAGAGGAGACGAACGTCTCCAAGGCTGAGGCGCACACCTCACCCTCTCACTCTGGCGGCCGGGCCTCTGGCACCCCTGGCTCTGCCTCCCAGGGCTGCTGGGTCCTGCTGTCCTTGCGGGGCTGGTAGGGGTACGGGAAGGGGAGCTGGAGGAAAGACTGCCCCCATCTTTGACATCCCCAGGCTCCCCAGTGTTGCCGCCTCTCCTGTATCAGCTCTTGAGACCATTTTAGAGGTGGAAAGAAGTCCTGCTTTTTTTTAGCACGCAGAAAAACATGCTGGCCAGGTGGGACCTCACTGGATATGAGCCTATGGTTTAAGGCCTTTTAAGAATGGAGGTTCAGGACCCAGGGCCTTTCTGGCGCTCTGCTCGTCAACTCCCCGTGTTAGGTTTGGGCAGGCTTAGAGGGGCTCTCCTGCCAGAAGACCCCCAGCCCCACTCTCCTGGTAGACCAAGGCCTTGCAGATCAACTCTGTGCCCCTGGGAAGAGAAGTGGAGCCTGGCCTGGGCTCCTTGCTGAGTTTGGCTGAGCCACAGGCAGAGGGACACACAGGAGCAGCCCTGGGCACTGGGGTGTCTGGGGCCTCAGCTACTACTCGGGCAAAGGAACATCTATGAACAGCTCTCACTGGGCCTGCCGTGCTTTCAGACACAAGAAATAGCTCCACTGCCTGGGCCAACGTTCTGCTGGCTCCTCCTTTGATGGTAGCAGTCAGGTCTTGTGCTAAGAGCTGGGCCTACAGGGATTTATTATCCAGAATGACTGCTCTAGAGGGGCCGATAGTTGATTTGGAGAGAAAGCACACATGCATTAGTCACCTCAGTGCAACAGTGCTCTGCTCTGGCAGTGACAGGATCACAGAGGAGGGATCCCCATCCAGGGCCCGTGTCCTTGAGAAGGTTTTGGAGCAGGGAGAGCCTGAGCATTGGAAAGCGCTTAAGTCATGCCAGGAGTGGGATGTGGGGGAATCCAGGGGTGGGGTGGGTATGGGGATCCCAGCGTGGGGAAGGCACTGACGTGTGACATAGCAAGGGTGAGGATACTGGGGGAACTGAGTATTGAGGAAGCAAGTGGATGGTAGGATTGCAGAAGGAATGAGGGGCAAGGGGTGACACGCTTGTTGGGCCTGGATTTTATTCTGTGAACTCTTCTGGGAAGAAGGACAGCCAGAGGGCCAGATGGGCATTTTGGATGGAGCTTGCTGGCTGCTGTGTGCAGGGGACAGACAGACCCAAGTGAAGCCAGGAGTTTGGAGCATAAGAGGAGGCCACTGCAATGAATGGGGCAGGAGATGAAAAGCCCCAGTGAGGGTGGGGGAAGGGCAGGAGGACTAGTGGGGAGGAGGGAAGGGGTTGCAGGTTCGGGGTGGTCTTGGGTAGATGCCGCCAACTAAAAAAGGAGCAGAGTTGGGAGGTGGGGGTGTTCATGACATTCGGTCTCTGTGGCCTCAAGGGAGATGAAAGTGCAGGTGTCTGTTGCTCCTGGCCAGGCTGGGCGGTTGGATATCAACCTTCACAGGTTTCCTAAACCAGAGTCAATAGATAGTGCCAGAAGGGTGAGGGGAAAAGTGGGCAAGGACATATTCCTGAGGATAGATTATAAGAGGCAGGTGGAGAAGCAAGACAGGGGCAGAGGAGGCCAGGGCTGGAGGGCTGGAGGGCTGGGGAGCGTGATGCTGCTGAAGAAGAGGGCTGTCCCTCACAAACTTTGGGGGTCTTCCTCACAAACTTTGGGGGTCTTCACCCACTCTCTCCTCTCACAGTCTATGAATGGGCTGCTGAGGGTAGTGACCAGCCTTAAGGGCTGATGTCTCCCTCAGGTGCCTAACACTATGTTTGACATATACTTGGTGCTAAATGAATGTTAGTGAAACCCACTGAACACAAATGTGGCACGGAGGCCAGTGAGAGGAGGACTGGAAGCATTAGTGGATTTGGCAATGGTCAGGGGGATGGTGTGCCATTTGGTAGATGAGTTTGGGGGACAGGAGAAGTGGGGATGGAAGCTAGACTTCAGCAGGCTGAGGAGGCAGTTTTTTTGGGGTAGAGTTTGGTTGGGTGGGGGTGATGAGGAAGTGGAAGACAGTGAGTGTCTCAATTCCTCATAAGAGTTTGTCTGAGACAAGAAGGAGAGAAAGTGCCGAGCTCACATTTTGTGACTACAGCGTTTTCTAAGAATTTAAAGGAACGTTTGTTGCTCCTCTTTCTCCTCGAAACATGGCATGTTCCTTGTAGCAAAGTTAGAAAAATACATAGAAGAAAAGAAACTTCTGTAATTCTGTCCATTAGAAACATATCCTGTGCAGCCTCAGAGTAATTTCCTTCTGGACTTCTTCCAGCTTTGTGTTTTAGTAGAAATGGTATCACTTAGTGCATTATTTTGCAACGTATCTGTTTCACTTAATAGTTCATGAATACCTTTCTCTTGCCGATGCTACTCTTCTTCCAAAACATCCTGTAAACTTTTATTGACCTCTCTATCTCATATCTGGGATTCAAATGCTTTGAAATCCAACAGGTACAAAGGCGCGTTCACGGGAAGGTTGTCCCTTTTATTTTCTGCCTTGGAGCTCACTCATTTTTGCTCCCTGGAGGCAACTGACACTCCCTTACAAGCAGCAAATTTAGTAGTTAGATCATATTCCATTGCATAAATGTTCTGATATTTATTTATTTTTTAATTTTTATTCTTTTTTGAGACAGGGTCTCCCTCTCCAATATTTATTACAATAGCTTTCCATCTTGAATATTTGGATATTGCTATTTTATTTTGCTATTATACATAAGGTTATGATGAATGTCCTTCTGGCTGAATCTTTGCATACATACTTCATTTTGTTAGAATACATTTTTAGAAGCAGAATTTCTGGGTCAGAAGGTAGCACAAATTAAAAAAAAAATCCAATATCAGATTTTTACCTCCAGAACAATCTGTATCGATTGACATCCCCTAGCAATGCACGAGAATGTTCGTATCCCCGCCTAAGCCCTCTACCTGTGTTACTAAAACTCACTTCCTCAAACGGTGCCAACTTAGTGGGTGAAAGGTGCGTGCGAGGGCCTCTAATCCTCATTGTGAACTGAACTTTTAAAGGGTGCCAGTAATATCTTGGGGAAAAATAGGAGACTAGGTGATGGCTCCAGGGAGGTCAGCTCTGAGTCCCCAGGGAGGGCTGACCTGTGAGAAGAGCAGAGGAGACAATCTAGTGTGGCTTGAGGTGGCTACATTGCCAGTGGGTGCAAAGTCCAGGGACAGGATTCTTCATTTTTCAGAAACCCCCAGGTGGAAGGGGGAGGGCCCCAGGCCATGAGAAGCATGAAGGCCATGAACGATTCAGAACCTGAGGTCAAGGGACAATTGGCACACAGGCATGATTTTTGTTTTTTCCCCTCAAAGAGACTATGGTATTCTTTTTCTGATAACTTACTGGTGCACTAAAAGGGGTTCCTGGAACAGGCTTGGGGGTGCTGGTGGTGAATGCTCTTGGGTGAGCAAAATGCCCCCCTCTCTAGATAGTTTGCCCCGTGGACAGGCTTGGGGTAGGAGCCTGTGTCCTTGTGTCCTCTGATGCTGGGCTGTGCTGCTTGGGGAAGGGAGAATAAAGACTGCTTTCATGCACCCAGCTGAGAGTGGGGCAAGGGACACCAAGGGCTCCCTTATTCATAAACCCCAGATTTTAGAAAGTTTGCACTGAAGGGTGAACCTGAACATTGGGAAGAATAGGATATTCCCTCAACATTCACCTACCCTTTAGGTTTCTCTGAACAATTCCTGCTTTTACCACATCAGCCTCAAGGGCGAACTCCTCTTTGGTTTTTCTACACTGCTGTAGACAGGGCAAGTCTCTAGATGACTTAGTTTCTTAAAAAATGCAGGACAAAAAGGAGAAATAAGATAATTTGACTTCCAATACATAGTCACATGTCTTTGGGTTAGGGTTGCGAGATGTCCCCCTGAGTTGTTTCCAGTCTGACTCTCAAGTTTGGGAATCAAAATTTTGTCCCTACCCCTCAGGGGCACCTACAAGGAACATAAGCCTCCTTGACGTTCACCGTAGAGAGCTGGCACCAGAGTGAAACGGGCAGCTCCAGTCCACTCTCTGTGAATTTGGAGTCATACCTTGCTCTTACAGTTTTCTTGTCCCCCAGCTATTATTTCCTATTGATTATGCTTCTCAAATACGGTTTTATCCAAGGCATAGTTTTGGGCCCAGGTGGCATTACCCCATCCTGCACTCCAGCTGGATTCTTCATTAGCCTCTGCATTTTGTCCCCTAGGGCTGCTGTGAAAGATGACCACAAACTAGGTGGCTTAAAACAACAAAAATTTATTCTCTCACAGTTCTGGAGGCTGTAAGTTTGAAACCAAGGTGCCAGCAGGGTTGGTTCCTTCTGGAGCCTATGAAGGAGGCTTCCAGTGGCTGCCAGCAATCCCTGTTGCTCCTTGGCTTTTAGACACGTGGCTCCAATATCTGCCTCCGTCATCACATAGCCTTCTTTTCTTCTTTGCATGTCTTCTCTTCTTAGGAAGACACCAACTATTGGATTCAGAGCCTACCCCAATCCAGTATGACCACATCTTAAGTGGGAACATCAGCAAAGACTCCATTTCCAAATAAGGTTACATTCTGAGGTGCTGGGTGGAAATGAATTATTTCAGGGCAACCATTCAGCCCATTGCAGTCTCTCTGACTTCAGACTCCTCCTTCTACCTGTCCATGCTACGGACCCTGTTGGAGTCATTTTTCTTAGACCTCACGCAGTGGAAGCACCCCACCCCTGTCTCAAGCCCTTCAATGACTCCCCACTGCCAACAGAATAAAGTCTTATCTCTTTAGCTCAACTTGTGAAGATTAACCATAGTCTGGCCCCTGTGATCTTTTCTACATTCCATTTCTCCATTTCTCCTACACACTCCCTATCATCCCATGGGAAAGGTCTTCTACGTTGTTGAACATGCTGTGAACGCTCTTTTCTCCTGCCTCCTTCTGTCTGTTGCTGAGCTGCTCTTTTTCTCGAACACCCATGTTATATATCTTTCCTTGTTCATAAGGATGTTTCCAGCCAGCCCATGTCAAAGGGCTCACCTATCTTCATAGACCAACCCTAGCCCACATGGTGCACCATTTCAGTCTGTAGTGTGGCTGTCCTCTACTGGTGACATTTCCATTTTCCATTTCCATTTTACCCAGGGGCAAGCCTGTGTGCCGTACTTCTTTGGGTCCTTGGTTTTGACAATGGTGTTCAGACCATGTGGCTTCATGGTCAATGATTTTGTATGCTGCTGCTTGTGTGAGCATGCTGAATTGCTCCATGACTGCAGCTCCCTCTAAAGCCGATGGAGAGCCCTGTGCTGAGATGAATGAGGGGAAAGGAGAAAATTGTTGCCACTTTGAGAGTCAAGGGCAGTGGTCTTTCCAAGGAAGAGTGAACTAGTAGAATCACTGCAGGAGAAGCAAATTCTGGAGGATGGATGCCAAGAGGCACTGTAGGAAAAGTTGCAAAGATATATGTGCGGGAAATCACTGCTCCCATCCTCCTTGGGAGACAACTGGCAAACAACATAGTTGGCAAAGGATAGGGACCGGGAGGGAAGTAAAAGAGGAGACAGAGTACAATGAACAGAACAGATGTCAATGGCCTTATCAGCTTTAACAGATGATCTGAAAACTTTAAAGTAACAAGGAAATTTTTATTCTCATAATTGTTAGTAGTGTCTTTTGCTAGCTCCTCCGACGTGACAGTGATTGACAATTGGCAGCTGGGTCTTCAAACTCATAGAGTTGCATCTCTATGGGGACACATGAGGAGCTTAGCTCTTCTATCTGGAAGTAGGTGTCCTCTAAACTTTCTTGTGCTGTGTACTCTGTTTTTTTTTTTTTTTGACTGTCTCAGCTGCATCAAAGCCCCATTGACATTGCCCTTTGGGATCAAAAAGTAGTCCACCCGAGAAGAAACAGTAGAGTTTTAGAGAATCGGGGTGAGAATTCTGGGCAGATGGCCAAGGTGTGGGCTCCAGGCTGAGCTCACTGACACATGACATTATGTGTTTCAGGTACTGGGACAAGTTTCCAATGTCAAAATCTTTGAAGCCACCAGGGCCTTTTTTTTTTCGCTGTGTCTTGGCAGTACGCCTTTATATAGTAGTAGGTTCAGAAACTCAGGCTAAAGAAAGCATCCAGAAAAGATTGTCCGCCTCTGCAACAGTTTGTGGGTAGCTTGTAATTGTAGTTCTGATCTTGCCAATCTGTCTTATAACTCTAAATGTGTGGTCTCACCTGGCTAGATACAGAAAATACCTATCTTCTTATAGAAGCAGGCAATTGTCAACCCCATTAAAAAATTATGGTTTCTGGACATTCCATCTAATAGGAATGCCAGTTTGCCTTCTGATATGTTGCCAGTCTGGCCATTTCCGCAGTCACTATTCAGCACTAGAGGAGGAATTCAGTTAAAGTTCCTTTGTCAGTAAGTCTTCCATGCAACATATTTATTTCCAGGTCCTAATGGCAATTCCTCAGGAAAAAAAAAAAAAAAGATCAACGCTCAAGTTTGAGTTTGTCCCATTCATCTACATAAAGAATATCCAACAGTTTGAAGTGTCTTTTTGAGAATCAGAAACCGGAGAGGAGATAGGAGGCAAAGGTTGTATTCTTCGAGATCCTGCTCTTAAGCAGTGATTCTTCTCTAGCACTCCTTGTTACTAGAATTTTCCAGCCATCTCTAACAAAAGCAAAGTACAAAGAGCATTTAACACAAACCAAAACGTGAAACAATCTTTTGATGGTTCAGTGTCATGACTGTGACTTCGAATTTTTCACTAGATTAAAAAAAAAAAAAAACCGCATACGCCCAGGTAGTCTCTGCATCAAGTCTGACACCATTGCTCCAATGTTATGAGGCTGAAGCAATTGTGGATGATTGATGTCACTCTTCTAGCCGTTTCCTGTTTCCACAGAGAGAGGCTGGGTTAATCCAACTCTATTCTAACTTCGGAGGCATCAAGGATTCCAGGCAGTGTCTCCCGTGTTTCTTTTTCCAAGTGAATTCCTGGAAGGAAACAATGACGTCCATGTGTCTTTGCATCCCCAGGAACCAGTTCAGTAACTGGCACATAAGAACACACTGAAAAAAATTGTTTTGTTTTTGAACGACAGTGATTTAAAAGTAGTAAGGGCCTCGTAAATATAGGACGTTGTACTCGTATTTTTCTTCTGAGCATACAAATATTTGCAATGAGGTTGCACTGCAGACTCCATAGCCATTGTGGCACCTGGGGCTCTGTGACTTGGAGGCAGAGGAGATGGAATGCCAGCAAGAAGAGGGAGATTGTGGTGTGGATGTGAGGGATAAGGGTGAATTAGTTTCCTACAGCTGCTGTTACAAATTTACCGCAAGATAAATGGGTTAAAACAGTACAGATTTATTATCTCACAGTTCTGGAAGACAGAAGTTCAAACTACTGGTAAAGTTCAAAGTGTTGGCAAGGCTGTGCTCCTCAGGAGGCTCTAGAGGAGAACTTTTTTCTTGCCTTTTCCTGTTTCTAGGGGCCACCTGCATCCTTTGGCTCATGGCCTCTTCCTCCATCTTAAAAGCCAGCTTCTTCAAATTCATCTCTAATTCTGACACTACTTGTCTTGCTTCCCTCTCTCATTTATAGGGGCCCCTGTGATGACAGTGAGCTCACCCTGATAATTGAGGTGAATCTCCCCATCTTAGGGTTAGCCTATTAGCAACCTAAATTCCACCTGCAACTTTAATTTCCCCCTTGCCAAGCACCATGACATATTCACAGATTCTGGGGAGGAGGGCATGAGCATCTTTGTCGGGGCATTGTTCTGTTCATCACAGAGAAGCACTCAGACATTCTGGAGTCCAGTGTCCTCATTCTACACTTGAGGAAGCTTGGGCTCAGTGGTTTTATGTTAATTCCAACAGTTTTTGCCACAGGAGGAGGAGAATGTCTGTCCAGGAGCCCTAATCAAGACTCAGCAGGAAGCTGGTGGCTTCCTTTCCTTCCTTCCAGTTCTTCCTTCTACATATGGGGCTCATCATATTCCCACTGACTTAGATGCTGAGGGGCCAGACTGAAGGGACAGTGGTCATTGCATCAAGTCAGAGAACGGATCTGACCCATCTAGTTATTCCTTCTACATCTGTGCCTCATCCCATTTCCACTGACTTAGATGCTGAGGGACAGACTGAAGGGACAGGGGCCATTGCATCAAGTCAGAGAACAGATCTGACCCATCTAGTAGAAGCTTTTGTTTTGGCAGAAGCACAAGCTCTTAGAGGTGCAGCTGCAGGGTGTGATCTATTGGGGACATTGAGCTCAGTGACCATGGGCCCTGAGAGTCTGAAATCTTGGAATTTCTCCCAAAGCAAAGTCCATGTAGGGAAGCCAAAGTGTGAGTCTTACCTGGCTGGTTTACAACTGACTGACATTTGCTGCCTGGGCAGCTGCTGTGGGTGCCTGGAAACCCTATTGGACTAGGACTGGCCCCGGCAAAAAACAAGTGTTTCAGCTGCCCAGTGTCCTCTGAGTGGATGCTGGTGATTCTGGTATGGAGCCCAGGTGTAAGGCAGCAGGTGGTCCAGGAGGCACCAGAAGAGGTCTCCTGTCAAGGTCAGGGCCAGAGAGGAAGGCACAGGGGATCTACTGCATGAGACTTTCACTTGCAAAGAGCAACCCATGATGAGGAGGGAGGATGCCTGGGGCATTGAGTCTCATCCATAAGGGCACTTTTTCCAAGTTACTTCGTTTTGTATAGCTGCACAGTCCCTCACCCTCACCACTGTACCGAGAGCTGGCAGCTGACAAGAATACATCTTCCAACCAAGATCCCTTCTGGGACCAAGGACACAAGGACCCAAGACCTTCTTGCTTGGAAAGTGAATTTCTCAGAACTCCGAGATGATGCCAGTCTTGGAGGAAGATGACATGAGGACCCCAGACCTTCTTGCTTGGAAAGTGAATTCCTCAGAACTCCGCGATGACACCAGTCTTGGAGGAAGGCGAGGTGTTGAGAGATGGCTGCGATCCCTGAGGAAGGCAGCCACAGTCTCCGGTGGAGAATTATGAGGGACCCAAGCAGATGGTTGGTGGTGGAAATGTCACCTCAGTATAGTACTATAGAGTTTCCTTTCACCCCCAACAGCCGATGGTTTCCAGGGGCGAAGAGTGAAAATTGAAGCAAGGTGTCTACCGTCCAGGTGAGAGCCACATCCTATGGCTGAGGCCTGGGGGCATTGGGGACCACCAAGAGTGAATACTTTCCCAATTAAGTGAAGTCGTTGCACAATATTCCTGAGCAATAGCTAATGTTCTCTGAAAGAGACAGAGTGTTAGCCCCTGAAAGGGCGAGGGAAATTGTAGGAAGATGTATGTGAGTACAAACGTGAGGAGAACATGCTGAAGTAGCCCAGGGGCTCAGTTGAAGCTTAGGACTGGTGTTCTGGTGGTTGTGCTGGGGGTGAGGGTGGCAGTGTGAGATGGAGGTGAGTGAGCAGATTGGGTGGGAAAGAGGAAGAAACCTAGGCTGTTGTGTTTCTGAAGAGACCCCGTATCAAGGAAGAATGGGAGAATTTATCAGCTGGGGGGATATTTATTTTGTGGAAATGACCCCTAAGTGGGTAGGGCTAAAACCCTGCTGGCCTGGGGGAGGAAAGAAGCCTAATGCACTTTGTCTAAACCCACAGCTGCAGAGAAGGAGGCAGGGCGCCTGCCACCCCCAAGGAAGAGTCAGTTCAGAAGCACAGCAGCTGCTGGAAACCCAGGAAGTTTCCAGTTCGTTCCTGCTGGGACCTGGCAAGAGTTGCACTGTCAAGGCTGCAAGAGGTGAGCCCCCTAGGGCACAGCGGAAAGGGCATTATGAAAAGGGGAGATTGCCAGCTGTTGAGTGGCTGGACAGGATGTGGCTCTGCGGTCACTTGAGGCTCTAATGCCTATTAATTCTCTCAGAGGCTGGGCAGCAGCTGCCATGCATTTTGTTGGAACCTGGGCTCTCCTGCTAGGAGTTCCTGGGGACAGGAAGGCTGCAAGTTGAGGTTTTCTTTTAGGAATTCATTGTTCATTTGGAAAATGTACAACTCACCATGGCTCTTTCGGCTCCTGACGGCTTCTGATGTGTACAGACTGGAATAAGAGAACCTAGCAGAAATGGAAGCAGAGGCAAGAGGTAAGGCTTTGGGCCTGAAAGAAGACTGGGGGAGTAACCTCTAAGACCTTCTTCCTGGTAAATAAGAAGGGAAGTGCTCTGGGGAGTCCATCCTAGAAGCTCATGATTTCTGGGGGACTCTGGGTAAGAAGAGGCCCCTGAGTGACTGATGAGCTCATCTGTATTGGGCCAGGTTTGTTCTTCTCAGAGAGACTCTGGTGACCTCTCTGTGTTATTGTGAGAGGAATGAAGATTAGACCATGAAAAAAAGAAAGTCCTTCAGGCTCTGGAGCAAGGCGAGTCCCTAAAAATACATGGTCAGTCCAGCATTTCTTGGAGCTGGAGAGGACCTGGCTGAAAAAATCCCAGCAGTCAGCATTGCGTTATCAAGTTACTTCTGGTTTACTGGAAACCAAGAACTTATGACAAAATTGAATCCATTTGTCTTAGTCAACTGAGGCTGCTATAACAAACAACATAGATCAGGTAGCTTAAAATCAACAGAAATTTCTTTCTCCCAGTTCTAGAGGCTGTGAGTCTGAGATCAGGGTGCCTGCATGATCAGATTCTGGTGAGAGCTCTCTTACAGGTTGCAGACTGCTGACTTCTTGTATCCTCACATGATGGGGAAAGGGTGAGGGAGCTCTCTGGGATCCCTCATAAAAGGGCACTAATCCCATTCATGAGGGCTCTACCTTCACGACCTAATCACCTCCCAAAGGCCCCACATTCTAGTACCATAACATCAGAGACTAAGCTTCAGTGTATGAATTCTGGGAAGGCACAAACATTCAGTCCATAGCACAGTTTCTGGATTTCCATCCTAAATCACCAGGTAGGTTTCTGATTTTAACCCAGTTAGCACAGGCTTTTGATAATGACTGCTAGGTAATATGTTTGTGTTTGAAAATGTGGTGTGACATTTTTTTTTTTCTGGAGACCGGGTCTGGCTCTGTTGCCCAGGCTGGAGTGCAGTGGTGTGATCATAACTCACTGCAGCCTCAAACTCCTGGGCTCAGGTGATTCTCCTGCTTCAGCCTCCTGAGTAGCTAGGCATGTGCCTCTATGCTTGGCTAATTAAAAAAAAAATGTAAAGAGATGGTTTCACTGTGTTGCCAGAGCTGGTCTCAAACTCCTGAGCTTAAGGGGCTCCTCCGGTCTTGGACTCCCAAAGTGCTGGGACTGCAGACACGAGCCACTGTGCCTGGCCCATCATTATTTTAAAGTTGTATGATATATTAAATCGACTATTCTTCTAGAAGTATTTCAATATGATTTGTTAAGGTCTATAATGTAGCCTGTTACTACCTTAAACCTATGGATTCACTTAGGAAGTGAAGTCGTCATTGTTGGACCTATTCTTTTGATTAACAGAGGTATGTGTGAAGGGCAGGAGAGGTCAATGGTTAAGGACATAGACCATGGAGGCCTGCTTCTGGGGTGAGGGGTCTCTATTTTGCCTCTTAAGTGTGACTTGGGCAAGCTTCTTAGCTCTTCTGTCCCTTAGTTCCCTCATCTGCAAAATGGGGATAGAAATACTGTCATCCTCATTAGGTTATTGTGAAGATTGAATGAGTTAATAGATGTACAATATACTGAACAGTGCTTGGCCTCAAATATTAGCTATTTTTATCTCTTATTTCACTTCTTAAAAATGTATTTCATTCATGTGGATTTTGCAATTATTTTTTGAAGAAAAATTTAGTTATTTTCCCATTCTGATAGCATGCCCAGGAAACAAGATGGTTTCTGTTTTGGGACAGATGATTCTGGAAAGATGCTGGAAATATAGCACATTAAACAAAATCTTCCAGTATCACTAGGCTTAACCTAGTATTAAGGTCTGTCTTTTTTACAACATTGCGGTCTCAGTAAATGGTGGATAAATAACTTCAGTACATTCACCAAGTTATTTTTGGTTGTTTCTAGGTCTGGAGGCCAGGAAAATGTCAATGGAAAGCAGCTAGCATGAAGACCCCACAGTGTTCCTCCCTCTACTAGTCTGGTATTAATCTGGAGATGCTCCCAATATGGTTGGGACGTTTGTCCCCTAAATCTCATATGAGAATTTGATCCCCAGTTTGGGGGATGGGGTCTGGTGGGAGGAGTTTGGGTCATGATGGGGACCCATCATGAATGGCTTGGTACCCCGCTCACCAGGAATGAATGAGCTCTCACTCTACTAGTTCACTGGAGAGCTGGTTGTTTAAAGAGCCTGGCATCTGCCCCACTTTCTCTCTTGCTCCCCCATCTCACTGTGATAAACCTGCTCCCCTTTGCCATCGATCATGAGTGGACACTTCTTGAAGCCTTCACCTGAAGCAGATGCCGACACTGTGCTTCATGTACAGCCTGCCATACCATGAGTCAAAATAAACCTCTTTTCTTTGTAAATTACCCAGCCTCAGGTATTCATTTGTAACAATGCAAAATGGACAAACACAGAAAATTGGTACTGAGGAGTGGGGCTTTGCTATAAAGATAGCTGAAGATGTGGAAGCAGCTTTGGAAATGAGTAAATTGGCAGATATTGGAAGAATTTGGAGGGCTTAGAAGAAGATAGGAAGATGAGGGGAAATTTGGAACTGTCAACCAAAGGATGATGAGGTTCGTAAATGTGGAAAGGAGAGCTGTATTCTCATAAATGGTTGCAGCCTGCAGGGTGGCCACTCTGAATGACTGGGAAGCATAGCCTCTGGCCAGAAGCCAGAAACAGGCACTTGGAGTGTCAGAAAAATAAAACAAGGATTGGTGCTGAGTGAGGTGGCCAAATATATATTCAGCAAGCTATAGGAGGAGCCATGAATATTTACGAAGGAAGAAACACGCACATGCACAGTTGACCTGCAAGCCCCTTCAAGGGGTCCCATGTTCAGAAAATGGTAGTGTTAGCAAGATGTGAGGGGGGAGTTTTTGGGCCTCTGACTTCAAAAGATGAAGCAGAGGACACAAAACCCCTCAGTCAGTGCACAGCCTCCCTAGACTGACCAGAACCTCTCAGTGGTTGGTGGTCTCTTATCAGGAAGGAATGCTGGTTGGTTGTTCTGTTGAAACTGCAAAAGGGAGGGCCAGCATCAGGTGGTTGGTTGAAATCAGTAGTGAGGTGATTCTTTTGAAAGGGCTGGTTCCAACCTAAATGCTCATCAATGATAGACTGGATAAAGAAAATGTGGCACATATATACCATACTATGCAGCCATGAAAAAGAATGAGTTCATGTCCTTTTCAGGGACATGGATGAAGCTGGAAACCATCATCCTCAGCAACTGACATAGGAACAGAAAACCAAACACCACATGTTGTCAAAAGTGGGAGTTGAACAATGAGAACACATGGACACAGGGAGGGGAACATTACACACTGGGGCCTGTTGGAGAGTGAGGGGAAAGGGGAGGGAGAGCATTAGAACAAAAGCCTTAAAACCTTGATGTCAGGTTGATAGGTGCAGCAAACCACCATGGCACACGTATACCTGTGTAACAAACCTGCACATTCAGCACATGTATCCCAGAACTTAAAGTAAAATAAAATAATTAAAAAAAAGAGAAAGGGCTGGTTCCTGCTTAGTCTTTAGAGAAGAAAGCCTAGTGGTGGTTAGCAAGGGAGGGGCTCTAATGAGGCATGTTTGACCTCCCATTGCATCACGGCTGGGACTCAGTTTTAAGGTTTCTCTGGGATCCCCTTGGCCAAGAGGGGATCATTCAGTAGTCTGGGTGGGGGGAAGGGACTTAGGATTTCATTTTTATTTCTCGGAATGTATTGGAGACTGGTTAAATGATTATGACCAAAATGCTGATAGAAATATGGGCAGTGAAGGCCAGGTTGATGAGGTCTCAGATGAAAATGAGGAACTTTTTTTTTTTTTTTTTTTTTGAGACTGAGTCTCACTCTGTCGCCCAGGCTGGAGTGAAGTGGCATGATCTCGGCTCACTGCAAGCTCCGCTTCCCAGGTTCACACCATTCTCCTGCCTCAACCTTCCAGGAGCTAGGATTACAGGCGTCCGCCACCACGCCTGGCTAATTTTTTGTATATTTAGTAGAGACGGGGTTTCACGGTGTTAGCCAGGATGGTCTCGATCTCCTGACCTCCTGATCCACCTGCCTTGGCCTCCCAAAATGCTGGGATTACAGGTGTGAACCACTGCGCCCGGCCGAAAATGAGGAACTTATTGGGAGCTGGAGCACAGGTCACCCTTGTTACACCTTAGCAAATAACTTGGCTGCATTGTGCCAATGTCCTAGGGCTTTGTGGAAGGCTGAGCTTCAGAGTGATGACTTAGGCTATCTGCAAGAAAAAAAATTTCTATACAGCAAAGCATTCAAGAAGTGGCAAGGCTGTTTCTACCAATCTAAGATCAGATATGGGGCAAAGGAATGACTTAAAGTTGGGACTTACAATTTAAAGGGAAGTAGAGTGTAAAAATTTGGAAAATCTGCAGCCTGGCTCATGGTGGAGAAGGAAAGAACATTTTCAGGAGGGGAACCCAAAGGATAAGAATCCAAGAGGCATGAGGAGCAACCATTTGCTAGAGAGATTAGTATGACTGAAAGGGAAGCAGGTGCTAACAGTCAAGACAATGGGAAAAAGGCCTCAAAGGCACTTCAGAAATCTTCCAGGCTGCTCCTCCCATCACAAGCCCAGAAGCCTAAGATGAAAGACTGGTTTCAGGGACAAGGCCAGGGGCATTGCTACTCGGTGCTGCCTTGGGGTGCTGCTTCCCTTATCCCAGCCATCTCGAGTCCAGCCTCCACTCAAAGGGCCCCAAATAGGAGCTCAGGACTCCACTTCAGGGCATGCAAACTGCAAGCCCTGGTAGCTTCCACACGCGTTAAGTCTGCAAGTATGCAGAATGCAAGAGTGGCGGAGGCTTGGCAGTTTCCCCCTAGATTTCAAATGATATATCAGAAAGCCTGGGTGTCCAGGCAGAAGTCTGCTGCAGAGGCAGCACCCTCATGATGAGCCTTTTCTAGTGTAGTTCCAAGGGAAAATGTGGGGTTGGAGTCCCCACACAGAGCCCCCACCAGGGCACGATCTAGTGGAGCAGTGGGAATAAGGCCACTGCCCTCCAGACTCCAGAATGGCAGAACCACTAGCAACTTGCACCTTAGCCTAGAAAAGCCACAGTTACTCGACTCCAACCTGTGAGAGCAAGAACAGCAGCTGATCTTTGCAAAGCAGGCACAGAGGCAGGGCTGCCTAAGCCCTTGTGAGCCCACCCAACACAACCATGTACCCGGGATGTGGGACATGGAGTCAAGGGAGATTATATTGAAGCTTTAAGATTTAATGTCTTCCCTGCTGGGTTTCAGACTTGCATGGGGCCTGTTGCCTCTTTCTTTTGGCCAATTTCTCCCTTTTGGAATGGGAATATTCACTCAATGTCTGTGTCACCATTGTAGTAATATATTGGGAATAAACAATTTGTTTTTGATTTTACAGGCTCATAGGTGAGAGGAACTTGACTTGAGTCTCAGATGAGACTTTGGACTTTTGAGTTGATGCTGGAATGAGTTAGGACTTTTGGAGACTATTGGGGAGGGATGACTGTATTTTCCAATGCGAGAAGGACTTCGGGGGGCCAGGAATGGAATAATATGGTTTGGATATTTGTCCGCTCCAAATTACATGTTTAAATATGATCCCTCATGTTGGAGGTGGGGCCTGGTGGGAGGTGTTTGGGTCATGGGGGTGAATCCTCCATGAATGGCTTGGTGACCTCCTCATGGTAGTGAGTTCTCACTCCATTAGTTCATGTGATAGCTGGTTGTTTAAAGAGCCTGGACATCCTCCCTTCCCTCTTGCTTCCTCTCTCACCACGTGACACACCTGCTCACCCTTTACCTTCCACCATGAATGGAAGCTTCCTGAGGCCTCAGCAGAAGCAGATGCTGGCACTGCGCTTCTTATACGGTCTGTAGAATGGAGACTCAAATAAACTTCTTTTCTTTATACACTGATCAGCCCCAGGTATTCCTTTATGGCAACACAAAATGAGCTAACACACTGGTGCTTTTTTTTTGTTGGTCTGTTTTTTTGTTTTTTTTTTTTTTTGAGATGGAGTCTCGCTCTGTTGCCAGGCTGGAGTGCAGTGTTGCAATCTCGGCTCACTGCAACCTCTGCCTCCTGGGTTCAAGCGATTCTCCTGCCTCAGCCTCCCGAGTAGCTGGGACTACAGGCGCCCGCCACTATGCCTGGCTAATTTTTGTATTTTTAGTAGAGATGGGGTTTCACTATGTTGGCCAGGATGATCTTGATCTCTTGACCTCGTGATCTGCCCACCTCGACCTCCCAAAGTGCTGGGATTACAGGCGTGAGTCACTGTGCCCGGCCGGTGTATTTTAAAATCAATATTTTAAAGCTGCAATGGACTGTTTCCTGTTTCTTTCAAAATCTTGTTCACATCCCCTCTGGTAGAGGCCCTCCCACTTCCCTGACTCCAGAGAGTCCATCCCAGCCTGTGGTTTTCGCCTTCCTAGACAGCTGCGTGATTTCAGCCAAGACATTTAATATCTGTTAAAAGGCAAAACGCATCATAGCAATCTCATTGGTTATTTCTTGCAATGAACGGGAGAGTGCATATAAACAGATTTTTGAAAGAAAAGTAGGAAAAGTGGCAAATTGACTTCCATGATAAACAAAACTTGACATCACATAATCTAAAAGTTAATATTTCAAGGAATAAGGTAATCTTTAGTGTTTTATTTCCCAGGACAAATGCTGTGCTGCATTTACACATCTTAAATACTTTACTGGGTCAGTACTATGATCTTAGACGGGCTGTTAAAACCAACAAGGAACCTTTAGCTGATATCCAGCGTTTAATATATTTGCATCTAGTGACTCTTTGTATCTCACCTTCTGAGGGTGGGGCACATAGTGGAGCAGGTGACCCTCAAGTTCCAACCCCTGGGTCTCAACCTGTTATGGCTGCTCCCACCCCCACCATTCCCGCTCCCCGACAACCCTGGGTTGCTAAGGTGTTCCTTTGAATGGGGTGTGCATATGTCAGGAGGTACAGCTCCTGAGCCTTTGATGGTTGGAGGGTGGAGTGACCTCAGCGTTGTGTTCAAACACCAAAAGCCCAGTCTGGCATAGGATCTGTTTCTTTGAGGTAATGGCATGAGGGACACCCCAGCAGTGGCTGACCCCATTAATTCACTCCACTGCAGGACATGTGGGCTCTGCTTCTCCAGCGTCCCAGATAGAGTGTGGGCCGGCAGCTGGGAAGACACAGCAGTTGTAGCAACTCTTACCCCCAGCCTCTGGGGTTGCCTTGGATAGAAGCCAAAGGAATGAGATGAAAATACACAGGAGGTGTGCTTTGCACATTTTTATCCCCCTTGAGAGAGGGGGAAGATTGTGAGGGAGAGTAAGAAAGTCTGTGGAAAATGAAAGC